AACCTTAAACCGCATAAACACATTTCATTACACCAAATACACAAAATAATGTTCTTTTTAGCAACATCCTATGACCCCTTTAAACATGCAATTTTCAAGTAGAAAGACTCAAATATTATGTTCTTGTAAAAAGTACTCCAGTAATATTTGTTTGATTTTACAGCTTCAGAAAATCAGCACGTTTGGGCAAAATTTTAGAAATGGATTCTTTTTCAATGAATAAATGTAAATCTGAATCGAATTGGCCGCAACTAACAAGAAGCTGAACTGAAATGTTAATTATAATGACAGGAAGAGGAATTTACTGAACTGATTTTTTTTTTTTTAATCATAAATTGTAAAATAATAAATTATAATTATTTATTATTTTTAACCTACACTGCTTATATATATATATATATATATATATATATATATATATATAAATATATAAAATTCATATTTAATTTAAATGGATGGATTTATCATCATTCTCACCTCTGTCTTGAAGGGTCTCGATGTATGTCTTCATGAACTCCTTGTCACGCCCGTCCTGAGCTTCTGAGTCCATGCTCATGTCTTCATTCCCAGTGTTTATTGGATTGTCGTATAATCGGATTAATCTGGAACAGAAAGACAGTGTACTGTAGATCAGCACTGCTTTAGAAAGTCTTTTCAGGGGGTTGGAGCGAGCAGCATTCACTCAGATTCTAAAAATAAAAACACAGAATGAGACGCGTACTGCTCTGATGCCATTCATGTCCAGGGGCCTCATTTATAACTGTTGCGTACGCACAAAAACAGCCCTGAAAGAGGCGTACGCCACTTCCTACGCAAAAGGTGGGATTTATAAAAAAACTGACTTTTTTTCCCTGGAGAGAGAAAAGTAATGAAGTAAACAACGATTTTAAACTGTTTTAATTTCATCATATACATTTACAATAAATATCCCACTCTCATTAATGGAGATAAGCACTGAAATGACAAAGTCATTACACAGAAGTTAAACCAAAATTATATGAATTTAATTTGGACATTTGGCCTATTTGTAATGGATGCGCTTGATTACTTTTCCTGTTATGTTTTAATGGCAGCGAGGAGTGCTATAGGTGCACAATAATTTATCTTACACTGAAAAAAATGTTTCATTCATCCAATTTAAAAAATAAGGGCAAGGGCAAGTTATTTATTTTTCATTGGCTCAAGTTAAAAAATATGGATGTGAATCATTACCCTACATTTTTTTTTAATTGGATGAATGAAACATTTTTTTCAGTGTAAATAAACTGCACATCTCATGTTATGAGAAAATATTTTTTAGTGAGAACAATGATCAATGATGCGCACTTACTTCGATATTATGGCAAACATTATTTGAATTTGAAGGATGCATATTGAAGAAAACGGTAAGATTTGCAAGTTTACTTTTTAACATACTTTTTTAACAGAGTCAGATAATTGTATTTACACTGCAATAAATATAGGCCTATATATTTTCCACTAAAAATAGCTAAAAGATGTTCACCTTATCAGCAAAACTGCATTAATTTAATTTAATTTGCTTTTTTTTTTAAATATCATTGGGCCAGTGGAAATGAATGAGATCAACTCTATTCTAAATTATGTTTCTATTTTAAACAGTTTTTATGGATATTTTGGACAAAACAAGGATACTGCCTGATTTTTAGGAATAAAAATTAATGTGTATGGCATAAATGGCATGTATAATCTGTATCTCATATTTCCTTAATGTCTTGTACCTTTGACGGTGTTAAGAGCCCGGTCTCATGAAAATGCGTATAAATAGTGCGCCAAATAAAAACGAAAACTCGTGGTATTGATACGCAAAAATGGACTTTGGCGTGCATATGATACGCATGTGTTTGGCGTGCATATAATACGCATTTTTCGCGTGCATATGATACGAGATTTGTTGGCGTGCATATGATACGCAGTTTTCGCGTACATATGATACGCATCTACCCCACAACCCTAAACCTACTCATAGCGTAGCATATACACGCCAAAGTCCATTTTTGCGTATTAATACCACGAGTTTTCGTTTTTATTTGGCGTACTATTTATACGCACTTTCATGAGTTCGGGTAAAACATAGTGTCACGTGGATGGGAATATGCATAGAAATTATATGCAGATGAGGTTATGCATAGTAAAACTAGGCGTTGTAAGCTCCATATAAGGTGATTTCGGGGAGGAGTCGGGGTGGAGATGCACTTACACACAATCTTCCCCTGACTGGGATTTATAAAGAGATTTTTCGCAGTTTCTGGCCTACGCATGCTTTTATAAATCTGAAAACTTTTAAGCGTACGCAAAATCTAGCGTTTGTGCCTACGTACACTTTTAGGATGAAATCTACAGAGAGTTTTATAAATGAGACCGCGATCGCAAAGTTTCTCCGGGGAACGCAAATGCTTTTGCAACCGATCGCGAGTTTTCCGGGAATGCAATAGTTTTGCAAGAGAACGCGAATGCAAAGTTTCTTGGAGGAACGCAGTAGTTTTGTGAGCGAACACAAGGGGCCTCAGTTATAAAACGTTGCGTATAAACCATCCTAAATTAGTTCTAAGATCATTTCTCAAAAGTGCGTAAGTACGATTCAGAGAAAACGAACGTGCGCACAAAAACACGTGCGTACGCCTCTCTTCCAGATGTGACATTTATAAATCACAAATGATCTTGAAATTGTGCGCAGCTGACTGGTGTCAGATCTCCGCCTTGTAAACGCCCCCTAATTAATATCATTAGCATATAAAAGAGCACACGCCAATATCCGACTTTCTATGCTTGAGAATGACGAGCACAAAGAAAAAAAAACTTTACTGAGTCTGAAATTGAGGTCCTGCTGGCCGAGCTACAGGTTCGTGCGGGACGCTTTTTATTTAATAATGTGTAATTATTCTGTGGACAAACAATGTGTGTGTGGTTATATTTTTTCTATTGGCTATTATCAAAATTACTACTTCTAGAAACAACAGAAATAATAATATAATAATAATAATAAAACTAGGTTTCCAAAAGTAAGAATAAACTACGAATTCAAGTAATATTTTCAGTCATCTTATAAAAAGTGAGCCATATTTTTTAAAATCACTTGGTATGACAACTAATAAAAAGTTTAGAATTAAGAAATTCTTGCAAAACTTAAAAAAAAAAAAAAATTTTGAAATTAAAATTGGACGTTTCATATCATAATAAAATAAATTATTACACAATTATGGTCTCCGGTCTCAAAAAAACCTGCATGTGATTTTAGCATTTCTTTATATTTACACAGTTTACTAAAGCTGCTCAAATGTGCCATTAATGTACCGACACAAAAATATATAGTGTATTTTATACAAATATAACTGATGTAAATGACAAAAACAAAGTTTAAGGCTGATGTCTCTATTCATTTTCACAGAAGCAAAGCAGCAGATGTTATAAATAAAAACAGTTAACAATGTTATTTAATAGAATATATTAAAACCGTTATTGCACGACATAGGCCTATTTTTAGGCTACACAGACAAAACAGTCGGAGATGCGTTTAGGCATTTTTTTTTCTATTTTACGCATTAGTAGTAAATCAAGATTTCGCAAGTTCTCTTGTAAAATAAAATAATAAAAAAACAACGTGATAAACTGTCTACAGAAAGCGAGTAAAGAACTCTCAACATTAGGCTACTAAAAAGGTCAGTTTAATCTCGCAAAAACTCCCGTTAATATAAAATCTGACTACACTGCATTAATCTCTTACACTGCATCTTCGTTGTTTATGATGAATTCGGTGCTTGCACGTACACCGCTTTTATTATTATTGCAGCTTAGATGTTCAAATAGCTGCAGTACTCCGACTTTGCCACAAGGAGAAGTGTGTACACCTGCCCTGTTGAAAAAACCAGCATATGCTGGTTAGGTATGTTTTGAGCTGGTCCTTTGCTGGTTTAAGCTGGTCCTTTGCTGGTTTATGCTGGTCCTTTGCTGGTTTAAGCTGGTCCTTTGCTGGTTTAAAATGGTCCCTTTGCTGGTTTATGCTGGTCCTTTGCTGGTTTAAAATGGTCCTTTGCTGGTTTAAAATGGTCCCTTTGCTGGTTTATGCTGGTCCTTTGCT